TAATAAACTTGATATTTTTGTTTTAATAAACGTAATGTTTTATTTAATTTCCCTGACCGTATTTAAGACCTTAACCTCCTTTTATTTAATCCAGCACAATGCCGCCCAAGTTTCGAGCCATATTCCATAGATTTCGGAATTCTAATGACACCAAGCAGACAATGAAGTCCCAGCAGCCGAATCAGCAAAACCAGCAGCCTGTTGACAACAACAACAACAATAACAACTAGAGAGACAACAACAACAGCGCAGCAACTAGAACACGAGCAACAATAAGGACAACCACACGTCGAGAACTGCTGTGTGTTTGTGTGTGTCGGAGAGGTCATAAGTACCAGCTCTGGGGGTCAGAGGGATCAGAGAGGGGTTCTGAGTGAATGCAGACGGCGAAACACTGCAATAAAAGTGCGGTGCAGATGCAGGCAATGCAGAAGGCGGGAATTTACATTTAGTTTATGAGTAGACAAGCGACGACAATAGCGGGGAGCGTCATGCTGCCATGGCCCCGGCTCCGACTCCGACTCCGGATCCGGCTCCAGCTCCTACTCCAGATCCAGTTTCTGCCGCCTGCCCCCATTTGAGTTCTAGTTGCAGCAGTGACAGCAGTTGTCGCAGCTGCTGTTGTTGTGGCGCGCCGAAAGGTCATACACAATGAAATGCACAAATGTCAACATTTAACGGTCAAAATGGTCGTACAGACAGTCAGATAGACAGACACAGACACTCTATGGAGCATAAGCAGCAGCAGCAGCAGCAGCAGCGACAGCAGAATGGACCAGGGCATTGTGCGGCTGGCAGGAAGTTGCGAACGCTCCAAGTTTAAAGTTTATGGCCAAAGAAAAGTCCACGGACAATGGGGCCAATAGATGCAACACTGGCAACAGCAGCAGCACAAGTAGCAGCAACAGGAGCTGCTTCTTGGAGATTGTGTGGCATAAAACTGATCAGGTTGGCAACCAACAAGCGCAAAAGGAAAGATGCTTCTGCAACTTTATGGCATTTGCTGGGTACAAAACTTGCAACAAAGTGCGACTAGAGGAAATAAAAAAGCCAAGTCATTTACCCGTTAAGTTGAGGCTGAAATACACTTTGCAGATATGCAAACTATTTATTGCCTCATATCTATATAATTTTTAAGCTAGCACAGCTGAAAATAAAATGGTAAAAACACTTAAAGATATTTATGGTGGGTGAAGAGGAGCAAATAAGTAGAATTGTTTGACTCTGTCTATCTCTCTCTCTCTTCCTCTCTCTGTCACTGTCGAAAAAAGAGAATTATCGTCAAGCTTGTAATATTAAAAGAATATAACGAATATCATTTAACCTCATTGGCGTACTCAAATTTGTTTGCTTAGCTTTTAATCAATGCAAACAACAATCAGCGACATTGTTATTATTGATCTTCTAGGCTTAACTTTAGCCAAGCAGCAAGGTCCAGAAGTTAGGGCATACAGAAAAGCTTCAGAAAATTGTGCTAAAATAGAAAGTTTAGCCAGCAGCGACAGTTCCACTCCCAGATGCAGTCACATTTTGTGTGTAGTGTGCCAGTATGTGTGCCAGTGTGTGTGCGTGTGTGTGTGTGTCGGTGTATATGCGAAAGGACCTTTGTGGCAGTTCAATCGTAATGAACTATGCACAAAAATGACCTCCAGGCGAATGCTGTTGGTGGACAAAAGCAGCACCAACAACAACAACAGCAGGCACAAAACACAGTTAACAAGTTTCTCTGTGCTGGAGCAAATTACATTTTCTGGGCGAGTTTTTAGGGTTGCCAAGCGCTTGTAGATTTCACATGTTAGTTTTTTTTTTTTTTTGTTGTACCCCACTTCATGGCTAAAACCTTAGAAAAGTGTAGAGAGCTTCAAATTATGTCTAGCCAGGAAGCAAAGTTTTGCCTTTGTCCAACATTTTCTCTAATTTTTTTGTGAGTTTGTCCCTTTTTTTTTATGACAAGTTAGTTGGATTTGCGTATATTTTACTCGACCGAATTAACTTTTAATAAATTAGTCTGGTATTCACATTCGAAATTACGATTAACAATTTGTACAAAATAACTGGACAACATATGAAATTAACTACAGAAATTTGTAATGAATTGCAAATATATAAAACAGCGGCTCATTTATAAATAATTGAAATGCTGAAAAAAGTATTCAAATATAACACAAGAAAAGGAAAATATGAAAACATATTTAATAAGTAAAATAAGATGAAAAGATATGAGCATAAAATTACAGTCGAATATTTCCTTGAAATGATTCAAATAAAATTCTTAAAATATGAATAGAGAATAAAGAATAAAATCAGACAACTTAAATACCAATGGTTGGCTACCTTATTACTTAGCCATTGGTGATAGGTACAATTCAGTTCCACTCTCTCGCTGATTCATCCGATAATCTGTCGAGATTCTTGAGACTACTTAAATCCACAAGTTTAGCCCACCCAAATGCATCGGCTGACTGCCCAGAGTGCAATGCAAGCACGCAGCAGTCAGTCGAACAACAAGCAGCAACAGCAAACAACACGCACTGCCAACTTGTTCCATAATCAGCTATTACGTAAAACTGCAGCTGGGACCGACTGTTTTGACAATGCACTAGCACAGGACAGTTTGACATGTGCCAGGAATAGAGAGGTGTGTGGTAGGCAGGGGCCGACACACGTTTGTTTTGGCTTGTTGCAACGGCAACAGCGACAGCAACGACAACAACAATGATGACGACGACGACTTCAGTGGTTGGCACATTGCCGCACTGCGTCAGCTGTAGCTGAAGTCTGGTCAACAGCACAAGTCCCAAATATGAGACTGTGAGACTTCAAAATTTGATACTCGCGATGGCTGCAGCTGCAGCTGCAACATCAATTTGCATTCATGACCATCGACAATTGTTCTAATATTTTGAAAATTGCATGCCGGGCGCCAGTGCCACATGCCAGTAGAGTGCAAGAGCGTGCGTGTGTGTGCGAGAGAGTTTACGTATGGGGTGTATTTATTCTCACCCATAATTATGGCAATTGGTAGTCAAACTGCGCCTAAAAGTATGCAGCACATCTGTCGCAGCTGGGAAGGGGAGAAAAGTCGGAAAAAGCCAGAGAAAATGCGAATAGCATCTGCGGCTGCTGCTGCCATCAGTTATCGTCGTTGTCGTCTTTTTTGGAATTTAATTAAAGTTTACACAAGTAAACAAATGACAGTCTGCAGCCGCTGCCGATGTCGACGTCGCTGCAATGTGTATGTGCATCTGTGTGTGTGTTCATGTGTGTGTGTCACATGGCCACAAAACGAATGCAGGCAAATGCAAGTGGCAAGTCAAGCGAGCATTTTATTAAAGAAAAGTTACGGCTTTAAAATTGTTGTGGGCTAAGGAAAACCAAAAGCTGCAACTTTGAGTTGCGCAACAGCAAATTCTTCTTTGGTTGATTATTGAAATAAGTTTTCCAAGGTAACGGCACATGTGGGCTGTTAAAAAAGTAAATATAATAAATAAATAGATGTAAAACGCTAAATTTCACATGTTCTGAAACTATTATCTAAAATTAAATACAAGTTTTTCAAGCATTAAATATTTGTCGTTTTTTTTTTAATAAATTATTCAGCATTTTCGTGAAATGAACGCTAAATATTTAATAAATTTTTTATAAATTGTATCTACATTTTTTTTTATAGCAGAAAATAACATTGTTTGGACGTGAACAAAAAGTGGACTTCAATATGAAACCAATCTTGAATGCTAAACTCCTAAAACAAAGTTAGTAAACTACCGTTTTCTGTTCCCATTCGAAGACTTAGCCCAGGATCAGTGTTGCTTTACATCACATTTCATAATTTCAGATTTATATATGATCAACTTCCAAGCTTCAATTCAACCCTCGCCATACCCACGGTTAATGTGGTACGTGTACGGAAATTGTTGTAAATGCAGAGGCAAAGTGAATGAAACAAAAAACAACAACAACGAAAGGTAACAAAAACCGCTTGGCATTTATTGGTGTTAGTGCTGGCATTGCAGCATCCGCACCGCATAGGATGCCAAGCATTCAAAGCTAATCCCCCCAGAATTATGCAACAAAAAATTAATTAAACACAATTTAGTTTGCTGTGCGCCACCGTTGCGAAAAACCACGTTGCGCGAAAATCGCTGCGGTTTTTCTATATATATTTTATATGCACATACAAACTGACTACCAACAACAGCAACGTGACACAAATTATTGTTATGCAAAGCGGCGGTGGGCAGGCGACAGGGCAATGGATGTAAAAATAAAAACAACCACAAAAAAAAAAAAAAATGTGGGCAACGGGCAGGACGATGGCTTTGGACCGCTTTTTGCGGCTACTTGACTTAATACCTGCAATAATTATTATAACGATGCAGAGAGAAATCTTTTAACGCTATAAAAAAAGGAAGTAAAGGCACTTTCGGGCAATAAAATGGGCCGGATAAGCACTTGGACTTTGCATTGAGCGATTTATTCTCGCATATAGAAAACAATTTATGGTCAACGGCTGTCCATGGAATCGAAATCACGACAGATTCGCCTTGATTTTTTCCACTGTAACGAAATATTAAGCCTCGAAACACTGCTGAGAGATATATTATTATTATTATTAAATATTAAATATCATAAGCATACAAAATTCCCTAATAAAATAAATTCATGAAACGCTTTCAACGGTATTAAAATTAATATTGAAATATATTTAAAGTCCGTATAAACATAACAGAAGCCTTATCAATAAACGGAATAGTAGAAAAGTCGTTTGCTGGAACATTTACGCATAGATCGTTTTTAAGTGGCATTTGAATATGCCGCCATGTGCCTTTGGGCTGAATGTACACGCCTTTTCATTAAATTCAATTTAAAAAAAAAAGAAGAAAATTTTAGTGCCAAGCCATAAAAAACTGGTCAGGAGCAGGGCCAGCAACAAAAAAAGGTTCCCGGACGACGTATCGCGAAGGTCATCAATTACAGGACCCACAAGGCACGTCGTATGCATGGCTAGCAACAATAACAACAACAACAGCGATGACGACGAGAAGAAGCAGTTGCAAATAACTTGGCTGAAGCTCACATTATCCGGCCATAAGCACAAGTAGGAAACAGCTCAGGGGTGTTCTCCTCTACTTGGCGTCTCCCTCTCTCTCTCTCTCTCTCTGGACTTGGCTAGCTGGCGGGCAAACACAAAAATGGAATGCTCTGCAGATATTTCAAAAGCCATTGACACCCTTTCGGCAGCAGCAGCAGCAGCAGAAGGAACGGCGCGGCAGCTCGAGGCCTGCCTTTGAAAAGCTGAATGACCAAATAAATCATATCAAAGTGTCATATAAAAATCGTAATCAGATTTTGAAGCACACACATACACACACACATAAAGAGAGACAGACGCGCGGACGAAGCGACAACCAGACAGAGAGAAATATGTTCGCCATACTCATACGTCCCGTAAGCCAACTCCATTAAAAGTGCTTATAAATAAGGTGCTTGAGAGGCAAGTGCACAGAGGCACACACACATACACACACTCACGCACACACATGCACGCACACACACACATACACGCAGCCTTACAGACAGGGTGGACACAATGGAGCATTGAGCCATAACCAACAAACGTTGCAGCAAACCGGAAACAACTGCCCCGCCACAGCCCAATTTTTGAGTGTGTGTAAATTGCAAAGACTATTTGACAAACGTCGGTCAAAAGCACAGGGCACAGGATACACAGTCGACCAAGTCGACGACCTGCTCTGGATTTTTGTTTAGCACTCGCACTCGCTCTTTCTCTCTCTCTCTCTCTCTCTCTCTCTCTGTCTCTCTCTGCCCCTTTCTCTGTGTGTGACGGCATCTCTTGGATCTGGACTCTTCTCGGTGCACAGTTAATAAAAAATAATGTGCTTCAATGCGGTTTATTCAATTTTATGGTCGACTTTTCAAAAAAGCCAGCTCTAGCACCACACAACGTCCATCCAGCATCCTTGCACCCTTCCATCCATCGGCCCCATACCCCTGCACCCTGCGTCATACTTTTACTTGGCCTTTATTAAAAAGAAAATAGAATATTCGGATCGTTTCGGTTTGGTATGGTTTGGTTCCGAGTGCCATGTGGGCGTGCCCCGCTACTGTAGTATCGTGAACGGTTTGTGCCGTATCATATAAAACACATACAATACACACACAAACACACTCTTGAACTCACACACCCGCTCACTCATAATGCGATGTTGGTCGCTGATGTTGGCCGTCTTTTTTGAATATTTATGAGTTTGCTTTTAAAATTATAGATGCAGAGGAAGGCTGCTGAAAGCATGAGCCAATAAGAGCGTCACGGCGGGAGGAGGTGCGGGAAACAGCTCGGGTTGCCCATATTGTCCACTTGCTACTGCGTGAGTGCGTGCCAGTGCTTGGAAAGTGCACAAGACAATCTCACTTGAGCTATTTATCAATGCTTTGGTGTCAGAGCGATGATGAAATTTCGCATGGTGCTTTGTTATTGAAAGTTTCTGACAGAGAGTCTTAGCTCCATAAATTTCACAACAATTTCTTTATGGAATTTAAGACAACACTCGTATCTAATTGAGCAATAAAAGACAGTTATTGATATTGATAAAGGCCATCGAAATGAAATAAGTTATTGTTATATTATTATTTTTTATTGATAGGGTACTTTCCAAATTGCGTTGAAGTTTATGAGATAAGAAGTATTATGTATCAATAAATTGGTTTTCACAGCTCTTTTAAAGCTTTTTTTTAGTTCAAATATACCCAAAGTCAAAGTAATGCAAACTAAATGATTTATTATCGCACTGAAACCCAATAGTAAAATGCAAATATCCAATATGCCGCAGCTAACCATTTGGTTTGAAGCTTTAAACGTTTAATGTAATGCTCTATATTTGGAGAGGGGCCAAAGCGTTTGGTCTCATGTGGTCAGTCAACCAAAACTCCAATTGCAGTTCGAGTTGAACGTCAATAATTGCCTTCAATTACATTTATTTATTTGCACGCAGTTTGCTCGGCACCCTCTCTGGTGCTCTGATGATGAAGCGATCGATGCTGATGAGGCTGACGACGCCTGTTCCTACTTTGTCGATGAGTCCATAGCTGGATGTGGGTCTGATGGTGGCCGTGTCAATTGGTTTCGCTTTGATTCGCATTTCATTTATGCATGGGACCTGGCCACACCGACTATTTTATTTTATTTTATCTTTTTTCGTATCTACCCACCGCTTGCTTTATTATGATTATCATGTTTTATTCAACAATTGATGCGCAAATTGGCAGTTGTCTGGATCATTTACAACTCTACACACGTGGACGTCCACAGCACAAAAGCGGTCGAAGGGCAGTAGAGGCAATAAGGATACCAGCTCGCTAGTAGAGTATAAATCAAGCAGAATGTATTCCCATATACACTAAATATATTCCAATAGGCAATGAGAATGGAAGAAGAATATATAGAATTAAAATTAATTTGAAATACAAAATTATTTCGAAAGTTGGCCATAAAATATTTTGTTACATACACCGCAAAAATGTAAATCCAATAGCAAATTGTATAATATTTAAAATTACTAATAATGTATAATATAGTCGAAAAGGAATTGGAGAACACACCGAATTGATTTCAATTTGACTGTGTATGGCGGGGCGTATGATTAATTTGCAATACAAACAACAAACGCATGGGAACACAGTAACCGCAGACGAGTGCGGGTTGTGCTGGACTGGTTTTGTAGAATTTGTAAAAAAAAAAAAAACCATCATTTTCGTGCACGTAATTAAGTCCATTTGTATGACCTGCACGGGCCCAAACCCTTGGGCAACCACAATTGCATTGAAGAGAGCGGGCATGAAGTTAAGAGGTGACAATAAACTTATATGAAATTAATTGCGCATACTGCAGCAATCAGAGCGAAAGCGAACTGTGCAGCGCACACACGCACACTCGCAGGCACACACGCAGGCACACACGCAGGCACACTCGCAGGCACACACGCAGGGACACTCGCAGGCAGGTTGGTTATCAGCTGTCGTCTGACTGGGCAACTCATGCATTAATTAACAGTCAAGTGTCAGAGGCTGTCGCTGACTGGTGAGAAGACTCCCCCGCGACTGACTGACGACGGGGTATCACACTTTCAACTAATTAAATGGCTTTTGATTTTTACCAGCGCACACACACACACACACGAGTATTCAGTATTAAAGTGATCAAGAAGTAAGTTCGAGTAGAAAGCGAACTCGTTGAGTTGCAAACCACCAACATATGTTCAATATTTGCATAAATATTTTAATAAAAATTAAAAACGAATAGCAAAAGTGGAGGACAGCAACAGAAGCAGCAAACACCAGACAGGCGCAGCGCGCCCAGTGGGATATATATTTTTATTAAAACCAAGAATGGCAAAGTGAATGTAATAGCGCAAGGCGAACCATAAAACACTCTAATTGAATGTCCACAAAAAACTTTTATAGGCATTATAAGAATCAACTTTTAAAAGGAAAGATGATATAAACAAACAAGATTAACATAACTTAACTTTTCAAATATCATGTGTTGAAATTTGATTGATTGAAAATTGAATTTGTCCATAATACTTCATCTAATATAAAATCTTTAAAAATATCTCATTTAGAATTTATTTTAAAACTTCTCTTTTCACAGTTATTTTTCTAAGAAATCAAAATACCTTAAAGAAAGAGTATGGAAACACAGCTCGAACCCAAACAGGGACTGCCAACCACAGCGCGTTGTAAAAATTTGCGCATCGATTTGTGGCCAGACGACGACGAGGACGACGACGACGACAACGACGACAACGACAAGGGCCAAAGCTCCAAAGAGGAGTACAGGACAATGCTACGCAGCAACAATACGACCAGCGTCCAGCAGGAACAGCAGGAGCCGCCTCATCATCGCACCGTGGGCCGCAAATGCAAATGACAGAGCTCGCAATGCTGCATCGCTTTGATTAGCGACCAATTTAAATGCAATCGTGTTGCCACAGAGACAGCGTAGACCAAAGCAAACGTTGCACACAAGGTGCCCATTAGCATTAACGAACGATTGCAAAGGACCTGCATTAGCTGCCTAATGCCCACAGTGCACAGGACATTGCACATGGGTTATAGCTGCAGTTTGTCAAAAGAGATCCGCAAAACCAAAAAAAAAAAATATTAAAAAAGAGAATGAACCAAGCAAAAAAAAATTAAAATGACTGCATAAAAATGTTAATGTGCCTACAGACAATGGCGAAACGGGTAGCTACAAAAGATTAACAAATTTGAGCAAGCAGCTTGAAGCATTTACAGAAAAGTGAATTTCTTATTTGATTGGTATTCCCACTTTTAAGATTATGACCAGTATACTAAAAGCTATATAACATTCTTAAATTTGAGGAAGCAGTTTGGAAAATAAAACTTTGGCTGAATGTTAAAAGTATTCGAAAATTGTGAGAGCAGTTTGAAGCCTCTCCAGAATAGTAGCAGAATAGTTCTTTCATGATTGTTAATCCCATTTTTAAGATAATCATCATTTTGTTTAAAATAGTACAACCCAAACCTGGCCAAGTCCTATTTTTTAAAATTCTATGAGGAGTCAAAAATGGGCGAAAACCGTCCATTATTTCTCTTTGGAGTGGTGTCAACATTTTTTCAAATCATACATTATAAATGATATTGAAATGTTTAAAAATTCTTTATGCTTTCCAAGATGTTCCCAACAAAATCAATAGATACTCTAATGCTATAATTATTAACATACATTTTTTACAAATACAAAATTATATTTGTAATTCCTAATTAGATTTCAATGTGAAATGTGAATATTGGTCTACAAAATTAAGGAATATTCTGCGCGCCTAAGATAGCTGATGTTATTTTTTTATTTTTTTGGAAAATAAGATTTACAGTGGAATAAAGCTCGATAACTATTTTGACCTTCATATTATTCTTCAAAATAGTTATCGAGCTTTATTCCGGTCCACAAATACGCATAACAAACTGTTCGAGCAACCCATTTGTTTGCACCCACACAAATACAAGTTGGCATATTTCTCCACTGTGTGGGTTGTGTTTGGTTGATGCCCGGAAAACACCACGCGACGCGCCAGTTATTGTTTTGCCACTTCAGTTTCTATTGTTATTGTCAGGCAGCGGCAGCGGCAGCGGCAGCAGCAGCGGCGCCTGCAGCGACGGCTTTGATGGCAATGACTTTATATCCGGTTGGAGTGCTGTTGTTTGTGGTAGCTGCTATTGCAGCTGGTGCAGCTGCAGCGGCGATTATGCAATTTAATTTTGATATAAGTGCGAAATGAAATGCATGCCCTTATTGCAACCTTGTGGCTGCAGCAACAGCAACATTAGCTGCAATAGCAGTAAAAGCAACTGCTCAATACATTGACTTTGCTAATGACGTAATTAGGCGCATTTGGTGTAAGCAGCGTAAACGAGATTTGAACAGCAACATTGTACTCTTAATTAAGTCCATTTAAAGATAGACCCAAAAAATATCTCAACTCTCACGCAGAAGGCAGAAATGAAGCCTTCTTCTATTTCTATTTTTATTTTCGTTTTGATGCGAATTATTTTGACAGATTGTGCTGGAGTCGTCGGCGTTGGCTTCGGCATCGACGTCGTTTTGTTTTGTGTGGCAAGTGTAAATTTATGCAAATTACATCAATAAAAACATTCCGTCTTCGGTTTTTGAACAGCCGGCCCGTTATGATTTGGCCAAGATGGGCGGCCGCGTGTAGCTCATTTTCTATTAACAACTGCGTCCATAAAAACGACAACGACGAAGATGGTTTTGGCATTGGCATGGGCGTTGGCGTTGTCGTTGGCGTTTGCAAAGGCAACGAAGCGTCCAAGCAGAAAACCAACTACGGGACAGGCTCATTTGCATGTCCACCCCAAAAGGCATACGCCTGACCCCGAGCTACGTCCCGAGCCGTCAGCATCAAAGTCACAGTCACCATGTGGTTACGTCTGTGACAGCGTCGAGACTGACAGGCAATCTGGCACAGTGGTCGAATGTCTCTTAACAGCGAGTGAAACCAATAACAAAAATCAAAACCTTTGGTATTTATAAAAAATGCAGTAAATCTTTTTTAACTTGCGATTGATGAATGAAATACTTATGCAGCATCTAAACTGCGCTTAACTTCTTATCTTTACTGAGTTATGACAAAGGTTTCTTAGTTTCTGCATAATTTCGGATATATTCCATTGTCAATTATACACATAATTAATACAAATAATTATTACGATAAATTCAGAGTAGACATAAATCTCTTTTATTGTTTTTCTCTCTTTTATTTTTAGACTTTAGATTAAGTATTTATTATATGGGAACAAATAATTGAATAATTACTGCGAAGCTTGTTTTCTATGGTTTTTTCTGCAATGGACTTTTCATTAAAAATTGAAAATACCTCAAGAAAAATTTAACACATTGCTCATCACATTCCTTTGAAAAACATTTGTGATTTCGATCGATTTAGACAAATTTGGTGTCAGTGTTCAGCTGTCGCATCAAGTTTCGCTTTTGGACACGTTCTGTCTTGGCCCTAATTCAAGCTACGCACAGAGGCTAATCAACGCCAGGCAACTTGGACGGGAATCGTTAGACAGACCATAAACAGAGCGAAGAGCAGCTGTGGAGGAAGGGGCGGGATGAGGAGCGTAGTGTTTGGTTTTTTTCTTTTGAATGGATGGGGCAAGCAGACCGCTAAATTTTATTTAATTTTTGTTTAGCCGCGAAAAGTGGCGTATAAAATTTACTTTGGCTTCGACGATGATGGCAATGGCGATGACGAGGACGAGGACGATGAAGACGACGACAAAGATGAGGACGAGGACATAAAATAATGGAAATTGCCAAATGTGACAGCCACAAAGCTGCGCAGGGGCGGCGGCAAGCGGCAACTTCCAAAGCGGAGGATCGTATAATGCTCGTATAAATTTACAAAAATTCAACTTTAATGCGACTCGACGGCTGTTGCGGCGGCTGCTGGTGCTGCTGCTGTGACTGCGGCTGCAACCGCAAATAGAATTAACTTTTTTTTTTCTGCCCACAATTTCTTTTTGTTAGTCTTTTTTCCTGCTACACATTTTTGGCTTTGAAACCGCTGCCGCCGCCGTTGCTGCTGCTGCTGCTGCTGCTCCTGGCTTGGCTGTTGGTAATCGCCGCACACTTAAGCGGGCAATTTGAAGTGCAATAGCGCAACGTTGCAGAGTCCGAGATAGGTGGGCGGTTGGGTGAGGATGTATTAAGGAACACAGCACTGGCTGAAGCCGAATCTAAAACGGCGCTATAAAACCTCGCATATGAACCGGCAACAGTTGCCAGGGCGGAGTACCAAATTGGCAGCACATTGGCGGCACTATGGCAAATGGCCACAATAAAAAAGCCGTTTGCTGCATTCTCATGCGCAACTTGGCGGCGAAATCAAAAAATATAAAAACGAAAAAAAAAAAGAAGAAAAACGCGAAAAAGAAAAAGAAAAAGAAGAACAACTGCAACAACAGTAGTGGCAGCTACTTACAGAACTTTGTGCTATCGACGACGACCACCGCAAGGCATAAAGCAAGTCCATCTCATCCTGGGGACCAGCTAGTAGTCCTGCTCCTCGCGTGGCCATAAAATGGCCAAACGCATGGAAACAAACGAGCATTGAAATTGAATTTAACAGCAAACAGTTTTAAGTAGCGACCATAAGAAAGGGATAGGGGAGCGAACAGAAGCCACAGCTCATATAGCTGACCGGGTATAGCGAGGGGGTGTTGAGGTTCCCGGCAGAGCAACAACTTCAGTCTGTGTAGAAGTTTGTATGCGCTAATGGAGATGGATGCGTAAAAGTTGAGGCCAAATTGCGTATGCGTCACGCCGTATTGAAAATGGTAATTTTTCAATACCGCGCATACGACATGTGGCCAGAAGGCAAGTACAATATAATAGGTTGAGCATTAGGTATACGTGTGGCTAGACATATACCAAAGTTTAAAGGGAAAGTATCTAAATCGTTATCTTTCTATATGTAAATACTTACGAGCACTTGCATGGTTTTTACAATATTTGCTTTATGTCTTTGAATAAAATTTAAAACGAAAAAATATCATTATCTTTTATCTTAACCACTCTTCAACAAATACTTGAACTTATCACCTAAGACATTCTAAATAAATGCGATCACAATTTTAATTCTGTATTTTATTCACTTACAAGCTCAAATGTTATTAGTTTATAGTGACTAAAGATCAAAGGGAATTTGAAATGCTTGTTAAGTTAATAAATAAGAATACATTTGCTTGCACAACAATTTTTAATAATTGCTTAATTAAATAAATAAATACATTTTTACTAACCAATATAACCGAATCATTTAAATAATATATATTTTGCTTTAATCTAAACATTATTCATATTAAAAAAATTAATCTTAACATAATTTCCAACTAATATTTTTAAAAAATATTGTTATAGATATGAAAAATCTTCAAATTGATCATTATGAATAAATTCTTATAGAACGACTCAAAGCCATTTGGCTTAACTCTCTTGACTACAAGCCAAAAGCATTTTCTCCACTTCTTACCCCTCAAGGACCTGACCCAGCGAATGGACTGCACGTATCAATTGTAGGGCAACGGCGCATTCTGGACGCATATCAGCAACAGCATCGAATGCCATGTCTGCGACTTATCGCCCAAAGAAATATGCAGCAAAATAGTTTCCAAAACAGCCCTGGCCACAACAACAAAAAACAAAGCATTGCAGCAAGAGCATAGTCCACACGGTGTGTGTAATATTGAACGATGGAAGCTTATGTGGCGGATAATACAAGGGGATTTCATTATTTCGGCACTTACGACCGAATAAGCACTAAGCAATTTGAACAACGGGGCCAGAAAAGCATGGCAAATCCTTTGGGGTAATGACAACGACAGCAGTTATAGACTTTAAACCTAAACATAACGCCTTCCAAGAAATCACTAAGAAACTAGAGGAGCAGCAGCAACAGCAACAGCAGTCACAGCAGCAGCATCTTCGCCAAGTTCGAACAACGAGTAAATGAGCTGTCAAAGTTTGTAATGCAGCAACGTTTCTGGCAATGCGGCTGCCAACGACGTCGATAGCAGCGGCGACGCCACCAAATGGCAACGGGCACGAGCTAGACAAGTAAATCTTATTGTGCAGAAAATGGCAAATTTCCCCAGACGGCCAACAGCCAACAGCCAACAGCAGCAGCAGCAGCTGAACCAACCAGCAGAAGTAGCAGCGGCACCACAACAGCTTAAATGCGGGTGGCTTGGCGAGAAAACTGATGAGGTGGTTTTTGTAAAATGGTGGGCGTGGTAGTGTGAATGCAGCAGCAGCAGTAGCAGCAGCAGCATCAGCAACAGCAGCATCGGCAGCAGCGGGTACTTTGAAGTATTTTTCAGCATTGAGCAGACATTTGATTGAGAATGTATTGTATAATTTCCCGAGCGTATTTAGTGTCAGCATCGAGACGCCAAAAAGCGCAATACCAACCAAGCCAGCAACATCAGCAACAACAACAATAACGCTCAACAGCAACAACAATGAGCACACAAGCGACAAGCAAACGAAGCGAATCTTTCGCTTTGTTATTAAAGCGTGTCTGGAATGAACATTTCAATAACTTCAGATACGACATTCATCAGAATCTTAATTTGCAGCTGACAGAGTAGCGAATAATGTTGTTTGGGGATGAATAATGATCCATATTATTGACTAAACGGATGTTCGAATATTTTATTATACAGGTGAAGTTGTATTATACCTGATAAGTTCAATAACGAAGTTGTTTATAGTAAAAGTTTAAATATATTCACATTCACATTCACAATTTTAACATTTTAGTAAATTTATCAAATATTTGTTCAACAATTTCTCACAATTTGTATATAAATTAGTAAAAGTACAAACTAAGATATAAAAATATACTACAAAATACATAGAATGATTATCTTAGCCATGTCCAAGAATACATATCGAAATTGAAACTATACCCTCTACAAGAATATAAAAAATCAGAAATTAAGTCCATTAAATTGAGGATATGAATGATGGCTTATGTTCGATGATTAAAAGCATCGATGTCAATAATTAAGATATATATTGATCAGCAATCGATATGAACTAAGAGACTTTTAATTTTCGACGCAGACTCTTCGAATAACATACTCGTTATCTTTGTAGCCTTTGGCACGCAACAAATTCCCCACATCAGCACTTCTAAAAATTTCGAACGCCAAAAACACATTCATCACTTTGAGAATGACGCCTTACGCTTTTACCAGCCCATCCCGCTTTTAGCCTGCTCGTTTTGTCAGCCTGCCATGTCACTTAATCAATTTCGCGTTAATCAGCGCAACGTCGCCGATGGCATCTTAAAGTAAACACGCAGCAGTATGAATTAGAGGAAATGGTGCCCCTTATCTCAGACGCCATCTTTGAGATGCGTTTCCGTCACGCTGCTCTTAACCTTCTCTTACTCTCTCGTTCGCTGACTCGCTCTCTCGTTCGCTCACTTATTGCTATAATTTTTATGTCAAAATATAAATTAAATTTTTGCTTCACACGCGATTGTCGTTTTGATGTCACACACACGCTCAGACATGCCTTGTGAAATTGTGGATAACTGGGCGCTGGGTTACTCTGGGAGCTTTTAGACTGCTTTGGAGTCACACAGTCACGTCTCAAATGCCAGGCGAGCTGACACAGTTTGTTACTTTTTGGAGGCAAACGCTTCCGACGACGCCTGTAAGCGACGTTGACAATGTCGGCGGGTCCAAAAAGGTTACCAAACACACACACACACGCACACACACAAACATACACAGCATTCACCCTTCAAGATCTGGCAGTGCTAGTATAGTGGTAGGTGGTCGGATGAGATGCCATCATCATCATCGCCATCGTTGTAGTCGTAGTCGCGCACCTTGCGGTCTGCCATTTTCAGCAAGAAGTTCATTACTCATAAATGCTGCACATGGCAGCGTCTCCAGCAACCGTCAGCGATTCCCATTAAAACAACAACAACAGCAACAACGAAAAAGAGAACAAGGTAGAGCAGCGGAGGGGAGACGGTTTTAGGGTTGCGGGTTGCGGGTTGGGGGAGCATTTCAGTATCGCCTCGTTATAAGTAAAGAAATCTGCAGTGCGCTTTAAGTGTTATCGGCGACACGCACACGCAACCACCCAAAAAGCCAAAGCTGTACCATGTGCCACGCCCACAAAATGTGGCAACGTGAAGGACATTTTCATTTTATGACAACGTTTGGCTGGAAAATTTTTTCCGTAACCACCGAATGCTTCTACGTGTTTGCGGCTGAGTTCAAAGATTTATCAGCAATGACTTCGACGAGACTGTCGTCGGTTCTGGTTATCCTCTCCCCTATCCCCTCTCCCCTATCTACATTCTCCTCATGTCTCTTTGTGTATTTGTGTGTGTGTGTGTGTGAATGTGGTTATTTGAACAGATTTAATACCCATACACACACTTCAGTCATGTGTGTGTGTGTGGATCTTTAAGTGCTGCCCATAAAAAGGCGACTTCTAATCCGCTGAGCAGCAGCAAAGGTAGAAAAGAAATAACATCACACACGCGCTCATATTTGTACACACACACACACTTACACACATTTTCACACACACACACACACACACACACACACACAGGCGGAGCGTGAGGTTCAAAAGAATTTTGTAAGCAAAGTTAAAGTTAAAAGTTGAGAAGTCGCTTGCCTCGTTTGGCAGCCCATCATCAAAATGGCATCTAAAGTGGCAAAAATTGGAATTGCCAATTTGTGTTGCATATGTGATGTTGATGCATGCCCCGGGA